GTTGCAAGGAGCTAGAAGGGTTGTTATCCACAGCTAGCTGCATCAATGTTTCTGTTCCCATCTAGTTTGGCTATCGTCCCCAACTAGCTGTATTGATTCTACCTCCCCATCCATAAAGATTTCTGTTCTCAGGTAGTTGTAGTCCCAAGCTAGCTATATTGCTTTAACGTCCCCAACTATAAATGTTTATTTTCCCAGCTAGTCTGGCTGTCGTCCCCAGCTAGCTTTATTGCTTCCTCCTCCCTTTCTATAGATGTTTATATTTCCAGCGATTTCGATTGTTGCTCCCAGCTTCTACTTACCCATTATAAAGGTTTGAATTCCCAGCTAGTTTGGCTGTCGTCCCCAGCTAGCTTTATAGCTTCGCCCTCCTACTCATTAAAGCTATATGTTCTCAACTAGTCCGGTTTTTGTCAGTAGCTAGGTGAATTTCTATCCCTGTGAAAATGTCATTTTTACTTTCTCGTATATACGAAGTATAGAGAAAGTATTGTAATCGTGCACAAAAATCACTTGAAATTTTAACAATTTTCACCGTATTACACCTCAGTCCTTTATCACATCCGAAGTATAGAGGACTTATTTTAATCGGGCAAAAATTATCAATCCAGATTTATCAAAATTAAGAGGTTTTATGCGTAATCCAGTCTGAAAAACTGGGCTTTGCAATTCTGTCCGTATGTCTGTGTGTCTGTCTGTCTGTGTGTCTGTGTGTAAACACGATTACTTGAGTACCGTTACAGCTAGGTTGATGAAATTTCATATATAAGTATTTTATCAAAATCGTAGATCCGTATCAACTTTTGAGCAATTTCCGATAACCGGAAGTGGTACTTTTTCTACTTTGAATTTTTCAAAAGCCTATAACTTGAGTACTATTTCAGATAGATGCATGAAATTTCACATGTAAGTATAAGATCTAATTCTCTACCTTCTGTTAAATGTTGAATAATATCCGTTGACCGGAAGTAGTAATTTAAGCTACTTCCGATTTCTCAAAAAACTAATGTAAATTTTTAAAGTACTAATAATATTGCGCACTATTATGCACTTTTTTTAATTTGGCGTTCACTTGGTGTGCAATTCTTTTGTCTACGAGATTTTATTCTATTTTTTAAAACTTTAAGTATTTAAAATGGATTAAAAATCATGTATATAGCCCGAGTTCCCATCCCCTGTTGTTTTATATAAGAATATTCGAGAAAGTTTAGGGGAGATCACTCCCGGTTTATTTTTATTCGGCAAACGTTCATTCACGCATTATCGCATTCGAGGTTAATATTAATCAAGGACACGGCTCCCGGTCAAATTTTAGTCAGGGAAGTATCTTTCGGTCAAAAGTCAGGCATTCCCTTAAGGAAAGCTTTCTGTCTAGCTGCTAAGTAAATGGAGAAACAAAATATAGTCTTAGTAAACAAGAATATGAAGTTAAATTTAATAAAGATAATTTACGTTAAAGTCAGTAGACAAAAAACTGCTTTTTGGGGGACATCAAATAATATTGTCACACAATCATTAGAAACGATCCAGTACAATTGAAACATTTCTCAGATGGAATCTCTAGTGACAAATGAAGGAAGCGGAACAAAGGAAATTCAAGGTTTTAAAACAAATGTATTGAAGCCGATCACAGCTGTTACCGTTACTTGTTTACCCAAGTTTCTGTCGGTAATCAACGGATCTACTTCCTGTAAGTATGGCTCGATTCTTTGATCTTGTTTCCATCAGCATGTATTTTAAGCATTGTTTGAGCCATTTTGCCTGCAAAAGTTAGAGAGATGTGTATTATTATTAAATATATGTCTTTGTATATTGTAAATTTCCTGTATTTAAAAACGCAAAGGTCCATTTGTATAATAAAGGAATCTTCGTGTTTTTAAAGTATCCCGCATGTTTACTCTATAAACCACCCCCACCCTCCTGTGACCCACGCTATCGCCCACACGTCCTCAACATACACAACAACAACACCGTCTTTGACTTCTTTGACATCAATGAGATTATACGTTACGGTGTTTGACTCACAAATTTATTGCTATAACATTTTATTATTAAAATACAGTTTACAAAGAGATTTTTATCGTCTGGTTTGAAAATATCAAACTTATTAAATTAAGATTTTTGTTTGACATACGCCTACTTGGATTTTTCAAACGTGAATCATAGGATACGTTGTGCGTTAAAGATATCATTGATACAAATCGTAGGAGGATAGGTACAGAGGCGTGGCAATGAATTTCTGTTCTTTGTATACGTTTCTACTTTTGTATAATATTGTCAATCATACATTTAAGAAGCATGAAGAATAAGCAAAAAAAATAAGAACAAAAAAAACAAAAAACAACAAATTTAATCTAACTAGGAAAGAGATATTGTGACATTTTATTGAAAAAGAAACATTTTGTTTTGTTTAGTCGTGTTTTATTAAGTTCTGTTTTGTTTTGTTTATGTAGTTTTTTTTTCTATTCTTTTTTTAGTTTTTATTGCTGGTTCCATTTTTAAATGTAATAAATTTGATTAAATTGTTAATCATTTTGGTTTTATTTTTAGCAATAGACTAAGGTTAGGGTTTAACCCCCGTGGGTTCGACCACGGTTGCACTGACCGGACAGTTATTAGTTAAGCCTAATGAAGGGTAGATAGTGTAGTGATCCCTCCCCCCCCCTCCCCTAGCACTAGACGTTTTCAATTTTACCAACGTTTTTACCATTGTTGAAATAAAGAAACTATACTCGGAATTATTTTACAGACGTTTTAACTGTTAAATTGTATTTTCATTAGCAACCCCAAAATTATAAATATAAATGAATTAAAAACATTCCTTTCCTTGTTCAAAGTATTGGTCGCATACATTATGTATACGTATTTCAAATTTCTTTAGGGATTAATTTTTTAATTTAAAAAAAGCAGAATTTCAGTGCAACTGATTGTTATTAATGTTGTATAATATTATTATTGCATTTTCTCTTCAGTTTAGTAGTTCATTTATAATCGATCGCTAGTACCTACTTATGTTATTTACCGTTTTATTTTTGAGTATAGTAATTTTTCAAATACTGTTATTTCATGACTAATATAACGCATAATATATATATATATATATATATATATATATATATATATATATATATATATATATATATATATGTCTATGTGTGTGTTTGCATGCATGGATAGAAGCTACCACATCAGTTGAAACTCTAAATAGTGACGCCAATGTCCAGTGTGTAGCTATTGTAAAGACATGCGCACACTCAGGCTAGATGTGTAGTGTTCATTCAGCCGGTCAATAGCGACGTTTGATGATAAAGGTCACGCTATATTAAGTAGGATGAAGGGAGTAGCTTGCACCTGTTGTCTGTTAAATCTTTACTTTCTCACATAGGCGTGCACTTTTTAATTCAAGATGAGATACATATATTTTATTCACTCTTGCTAATACTTTTTTTTAAAAGTAATTCCAAGATATTTACAAGCTTATACTAACTTCGCAACGTCCGTTAGTTTGTGGGTATGTGGCAAATCATGTAACTATATCATGTAACATACTTCTCTTACATATTTAGGGAACAAAACATTTTAAGAAAGCAATTTTATTTTATTTTCCTGTTTTCTTTGTAGTAAAAATGTGTTACGATAAATGTTTGTTATATTTATTGTATTTAACAAAGTCTGTTTTTTGTTTGTTTCTGGTTTGTAGCAAATTAACTTTAACTGACTTTTATAACAGCGAATTGTTTTCAATCTTTCCATATACTTTAATCTAAAAAGATAATGCACGAAAATGTATGTTATGGTCAGTTGACGATTTCATTGTTGGAACCAGGCACAACACAAATTAAAAGCAGAATCCACAGTTCATTTATAACAGTCAAATATAATCTTGTAACTTCTACAGAGAAACAGTGAACATTGAAACGAAAACCACTGACTACATACTACCCTAAGTTGACGATACCACACACTCCTTACACACTACAGTTCACACACTTGTCAGGGGAGGCGACTCTCACACCCAATCTCTCCGTGCCTACACGCTTTCGTTATGAACATCTAGGCCACGTCACAATGTAGTTTTAAATCTAATTAGACATTTGGCTAATATTTTTGGATAAAGTTTACTAACTTCAAAAACAGAAGTGGAGCTTACACGATTAGATACTTGGGACCGCTATATTGTCTATCCGCCAAAGATGAACGGTTTGGTCACGGTTGGCTGCTTTTTTTCTGATACAAAGAACTAAAGAGGGGCAGATGATTATCTTTAAGTGATCGCAAGTTTTTGAATTATTTATCGCGTTTTAAAGGAAATATTTTGAGTCATGTTCTGTCGACTTCATTAAGAATGAATTACCAAAAAGTAGTAACAAAATTTAAAAGTTACAATGATAAGCTTTTAAATGCACTGGGAATTACAAAACTGATACTTTCTTTCTTTAATAAAAGTATCGGTTACTCATGAGATCTATTACATATTTGAGCGACCGATGAGTTAAATAAAGAAAGTAAGTTTGATTTATTGTCGTCTTTACAGAGCCTTCAAAAGATTATTGTTATTAAAAATTTCCCTTTCGAACTTGACGGACCATGAAACAGGTGAAGTAGAGTCCACCTGTTTCTATTACCTCGAGGTTAATGTGGTCAGCATTATGACCAGCCGTTTTTTACTTATCTTATTAGAGCTGGGTGGACTCAAGGATATTGCACTTACTTGAAACATTTTTCTTTTAATATTTTACCCTAAACTGCTTATGATTTTTTTTAAAAATGTATTTACAATGGCAAATTATTTTTCGTTACATCAAACTCATTATCTTGCTCTTATTGAATAGTTCGGCTAAACAAATACGTGCTAGTTTCTATTGTTTTTGTATGAGGTTTCGCCTCTGCATTTTTATTACTAGCAATAATATTTCCATCACGTATTTTGATTGGCTAACAAAACAATATATACTGTCTACATCAGTGAACATACACTACTTTTTGTTGTTACTGACAGTTTGAAACAACATTTACTCTGGTAAGTTTTGAGTGACGTCTGGCTGATGTTTACTTTACTATGGTAAAGCTCTAGATTTACGTTCTAGATTTTATGTTCTTATCAGAGTTATAAACATGATTTTACTTTTAAATAAGTGAATAAGGTAATGAAAATAAAGAAAAGTAACTATACGTAGCAAACAGAACTACAAATCTTAAAGATACTTATTGAAGAAACTAATTATTTTGAGAATGATAATTTTTTTCAAAATCGTGAAGCGCTGTCATTAGTTGATATTTTTTGTAATTGTAAGTTGGGTCGAATTTGAGTGATCATGTTGCCGACGTTTGATGTGATACTAATCGTTTCATTTACTTGTCTACAGTGGCTTTATTAATAACAGCTTATCAGACTTTTTACAATACATTATTGGTTTAAAAATGTATTTTGAATTTTGATAATCAGTCTTAGCTTAAATATTAAGAAGATAAGTATTTGCAATGTTTAATGTTAATCAGTATGTAAATTTTGTTCAAACAAATTAAAACTTTGTTGTATAATGAGGTAGCTTTGAACAAATAAAAAATTAAATATCGTAGCAGAGCAGTAGATATCTTACGAGTTAAAGATTATGACTGCGTTATTGGGATATATTTCGTTTTTGGATTACCATTCAATCAACTAATCCAACTCGCTAAACATTTCATGAATCATTGTTCGAACGCTCCGCTAGTTTATATCGTTTTAGTCTATCGATTCAAATACACACGTAGTGCGCAGTTGCTATATACAGGACATTTTAAAGATGTTACTGCATCTTCATTGTTTCATGATCACTGACAGAATATTTATTTAAACTAGTTTAACAATTTGTAATAAGTACCAGCAGAATAAAATAACCCCCCAGCCACCAAATATGTTCAAACTCCGCGCCCCACACATCTCTTTCGTTGGCCTAAAGAATTCGTTTCTAGATTTTATTGCAATCCCATTTTACTTATCACTTTAATCTCTTGTAATTAAAACGCACGTATTTAAATAATAATAAAACAGTTTTTGAGGAATGGAATAAGTTATTGTAGTGAATTGTTGATAAAAATTAATAAAGGTATCCAAGGATCAAAAGGTAATTCAAATTCAAACCGTTATAACTTTTATCAACCGAGGCATTTTATGTAATACCAACGCTTCAGAAAAAAAAATCAGCTTCTTACAAATGTGCTTATGTATTTTCAAAATATTTCTTAACAAGAGCAATAATCCATCCATTTATCTATATAAAAAGCAATGTATGTGTGTCTGTGTGTCTCTGTCTTTAATGCATAACTAAACCTTTTATCCGATCGCCTTGAAACATTAGAAAGTTCTTGAGAATACTACTGGGGAGGTTTCTGCGAGAAAAAATTTCAAATTCGCAGGAGTGGCGCCTCGCAGGGCGTGATTTAATTTTTCTCTTATACTGTATACAAAAATAAAAGTAGATTGAGGTTTGACACCTTTCATCCGATCGCGGTCAAACTTTAATTAGTTGATGTGAATACTCCAGGGGAGGTTTCTGCAAAAAAAATCTCTTTTAGTTTCTCAAGCGTGGCGCCTCGGGAGGGTGCGATTATCCTCTATATAAGGTAAAATAAAAATTGAAAGTAGGATGCGGTTCGACACCAGTTATCAGAGTGCCATAAAATTATAATGATTTGATGAGAATACTACCGAGAAGGTTTCTGGGGGTGGGGGAAGAGAATTTAATTTCGCGCGGGCGGCCCCCGGCAAGGTGCAATTTCGCGCCATAGTCTTTCCCATGAGCGATTTAGCGCCAACGTTCGTTTTAACAAGTGAGATAGGCTATGGATAAGATGGGGCGTTATAGTCGATCACTAAGTTGAATTAGGCGCGTTCGCCGGCGCCCAGGCAGGGTGCAATTTGGCACCCCGAGCTATCATGTAAGCGATATGTCCTTTTTAAACATTGCGAAAGACTATGCACAAGATTGGTTTTTAGAGTCGTTCACTAAACATAATCAGGCGAGTCCACCGGGGCTCCAGAAGGGTGCGATTTGGCGCCCCGGGCTTTTTTTGGGCGGTAGTGTTCGATCCAAGCACAGGCATTGTTTAAATTTAAATAACTCAGTTTTAGAAAACAAGATCAACGGTATAAGAATACAGGGTTGGTAAAACATTGATGAAACCCTCCCAATATAATTCGGCAGATTTTCTTTTTTTCTTTTATGCATTGGCACACCATTCATCTGAAAGCCATGAACCTTTGGAAAGTTGTTAATAACACTCACTGGGAGGTTTCTGCGAAAACAAATTCAATGTCGCACGATCGGCGCCCGGGCAGGGTGCGATTTGGCACCTCGTGTTATCCTGTGCGCGCTAAGGCACCTACGTTTGTTTTAAACAGTGCGATAGACTATGAATAAGATGGGGCGTTTATTCATTCACTTAATTGAATAAGGCGCGTTCGCGGGCGCCCGACATGCTGCAATTTGGCACACCGGGCTATCTCGGTCGCGCTATGACGCATAAGTTCGTTTTAAAGATTGTGATATAATATGGATAAGAAGTAGGATTTTAGTCGTAAGAAAGAATATTTCAGCGGCAGGTACATCGGCAAAAAAAGTAAACCTCAATTTATTAAATAGTTCTACCTAACAACAAAAATGTAAAAAATACTGAGTCCTAGAGCAAGATAGCACATGCACATATACATACGAATATTTGTGTGTAGGTTGGTAGGTATGCAGAAAGGCGGGGTGGAAGGTAAGCAGTTTGGCAGGAATAATTGTAGGTAGAAAAGTAGGTAGGCTAGTGAGCCGTTGGCAGGTAGGTATGTAGCACACGCAGGTGGTAGGTAGACAGGCTAACAGGCAGGCAGGTATATGGATTAAAGTAAGGGGTGTTAAAAAGGAAAGAAGGCAAGCAGGTAGAATGGCAGTTTGGTAGATAAAGAGGAAGAAATTTATGCAGGTAGGTGGGTAGGTGTGTAGGTTGGAGGGCTAGTAATAGAGGTAGGTAGGCAAAATCGCAGCAAGGTTAGTAGATAGGCAGAAAGGTAGGTATGTAGGTAGGTGGGCCTAGGTCTGAAGGCGCCTTACTCGGTATAGTGAACAATAATAGTAGCCCATCTCATTCATAGTGTTTCGCAATTTTTAAAACGAACGAAGGTGTTAGAGATGCGTCCGTTGAAGCTCCGGGGAACCATCAGTAACAATACCGCAGGGGCGCTCCTAATTCGATTTAGTTATCGAATGTCGTGTGCCACATTGTCCTTATTGTAGGGGGATCTTTTAAAAGAAAGTAGGCGCTCATTGTAGATCTCGGGGCGCCCGCTGTCACCAACTGCTTGTGCGCCGGCGGGCGCTTATTATTCTATTAAGTGAACAATTATATTAGCCCATCAAACCCGTTGCGTATCCCGGGGAAGCTCTTGGCCGCTCCGGGTCACTCGCCGAGGAATTTTACTACTGAATCTAGTAGTACCTGTCCCCGCAATTGATGAGACAGCCGCTCTTATAATAAAAAAAATCGCATCCTCCAACGATACCCCTCTTTAAGAAACTATTGCTGTTTTTTTTTTCATCTTGAAATCCTTTTTATTAGCTCCCTACAATTTTATGACGCTCGTACGAAATGTGTCAAATCGCATCTGACTCGTAGAGTAAAATCGCTTCCTGCTAGAGACGTACCTAGGGAAGGGCAGGAAAGGCGGCCGCCCCAGGCATGGATCCAAAGGAGCGCCAATAGTAGTAGGAAAATTCAAACAACAACAACCTTTTGCTCACCGTCAAATTTAAGAAAATAGATTTATGCATGACTGATTTAATTGGTGTATATATGAGAGTTAATATAATAATAACGGGTATGCGCTTTTTTGCCAACGTTTGAATATGGTTGGCACAGCATTGATCATTCGTCCCGGGCGCCGGAATAAGTCAGAGGCGTAGAAACCCTTCCTGGCGCCCGGGGACAATCTTTCAATTTACCGCCCCCCCATATATTTTTTAATATTTATAATGCAAAACTGGAGCTATAATGAGCTTTTCAATTATTTTTTCCCAATCCACAAGGCTTATACTCAAATTATTCCCAAAGCTTTAAGGCAATCAGATGAAAGTTGTAGTAATTCATATTGGGCAAACAAAAAAACAAACTTTCATCCTATAAATAAAAATAGCGGTTTCTTAAGTTGTGGCACTTATCTCTGTTGAGTATTTATGTACTCTGTCCTATATTAGACACATTTGTAAATATCTGTCACAATATGGGCATATAGATAATTTAACAAAAAAATTGGCATTGACATCCAACGGCCTACAAGTTCAAATTTGGTCCGTTAGAAATATTTGAAGTCTCTGGATTAAACCTACTTTTCTCTATTATGCGCCTACTGACCACATATCATGTAAATATATATATATATATATATATATATATATATATATATATATATATATATATATATATATATATATATATATATATATATACATATATATATATATATATATATATATATATATATATATATATATATATATATATATATATATATATATATATATATATATATATATATATATATATATATATATATATATATATATATATATATATATATATATATATATATATTCTAGACTCGTGAGGTCTAGAGATTTGGTATTTTGGCAGTTATCTAAGCCCTTGCGTGTTCTAACTCAAAGCCTTATTCTTTCTCTATTGACGCCGTACGTTACATGTGATTAGGTTTTTAAGGCGGCATAAAGCTTTCTGGTATTCACTTTTCAGTACACTAAATTAAAAACTAACGTCTTCAGATGCCTAAAGATGTTTAACCACTAGCTTACCTACTTTCCTACCTATAATTATTCCTGCCAAACTGCTTTTCTTGCACCTCGCATGTCTGCCTACCTACCAACCTACTCTCACACATATATGTTCGTATGTATATATGCATGTGCTATTAGAGTTTATTCCAGGCATCTCTTCGGGGGGCCAAGCCCCCCCCCCCCCCGGAAAAAGTTTGCCGCCCCCCCC